CATCTGATGTCAGCAAGCCTCGGTTTTGGTCAGTGCGGAAATGTGGCAGGAAAGGAGCCTCCCAAAGGCCAGCAGGGGCAGGCTTGGTGTTGGCAACTTTCCCCATGACGTGCGGAGCCCACTTCCCCTCTTGCTGGGCTGTCACTGGTGCTGTTTGCACAACACGGCCTCGAGATGCCCAGCCCAGCACTGCAGATCTGGTCGTAACAGCAGCAGAGGGGCCCAGCCCCACCTCCAACCTGTGCTCCATCCATGCCGCGTTTCCCCACCCAGTCATCCATCCCTGTCCTCACAGAGAGCCTAAAGGACTCCAGCCCAGGGGAGGAAGAGGAACGGCTTAATGCAGATCCACCTACCCTCGTGAATTCGGTTCAGTAGCTCTGCTGCTTTAAGATTGTTAAAGCATCTCACTTCAAATCCCAGCTCTGAAAACCTGGTGTCACAGTAAATTGAGTATTAGCTGAAGAGCTTTTCCAAGCAGACTTCTATCCTTACTTTGAGGGATCTATACCCATTTTATGACCCATAAATTTACTTTTCCATAGGAGAAAAGAAAAAATATGGTAACAGTCGATCCTCCTCTGCATGAAAGGATTTAGCCATGATCAAAGCCTGTTCCATTTAGAAACTGCCGATGGCCACACAAGCTCATTACCAACAGCGCGAAGCTGGTAACATGGAATGAACAGGGTGAGGGAGACGGCTGAGTGCTCAGGGAGGCTCTGCTCTGGGGGTGTGGGGTTTGTCCTGTGGCCCTGGGGACCAAGGAGTCAGCCGTGTGTGAGCTGAGGATGCGCATGTCCCAGCGGGGCCCTGGTCTGTGAGGTCACCAGGCTGCCATCGAGACACAGACACAGCTGCTACCTGCAAGCCAGGTTGTCCCTGTCCACGCTGCTACCCCTCCTTCTGGCAGCATCTGGTGCGGTGTGAAGTGCTCCTGGTTGAGGATGAGGGCCAGCCCCCTCTTCTTGTGGTCCATTCTGTACTCTTCTGCCGGGTCAGCCTTGTCCCTGTCCGTGGAAAGTGCACAGAGCCATCACTTTGGTGCAGAGGGATTCAGTAATGAGCGCTCCAGGCCGCAGGGCACATATGTCTGCCACTTCCAGGGGTGCCAGGCTACGATTCCCCCCATGCCAGGACAGGCCATGCTGGCCCCTAAAGTCACCCACGAGTGGACATCGGTCTAGGTCACCCCAGGCAGCCCTTCCCGGCCACTCCCCACAGACACATTTCCCCAGTCCCCAGGATCCAGCCACCCAGAACAGCTTGGTGGTGGCCAAGCTCTACCATGAGCCCCAGACCGCATCAATTGGATTTAGTTTGTGTGGGACTAAGGTTGGATCCTGGGACCTTGCACTGAGCTTCTTGCCCAACCGTCTTTATTTGTTTATTTTCTCTTTTGAGACAGAGTCTCACTTAGAGACTTGTCAGGCTGGGCTTGAACTTGTGATCCTCCTGGCTCAGCCTCCCCTCATGTGTGGTTTACAGGCCTGGGGCACCGGGGCGACTCCACTACAGGCTGGGTGAGACAGCATCAATTATGAAACAGTCAGCGGCGCATCACTGCAGGTGCTGACACCCAGGGAGGGCAACTAAACTAACGCTGCTATCTGCAGACCCAGGCCTCCGGGGTCACACCTGGCCCCTCCGCCCCTCCCTTGCCCCGGGGGCCCCTGCTCCCCATCCTTGCTAGGGACGGTCACAGGAGAGAGCGGCCTTTATGAGAGAAGAGCACACCCTCACCTGGTCAGGCAGGGCTCTGTTTCTGCTGTGTCTCCTTCTCCACTTGTTTAAAACCAAAATGCTGACTTTGAGAATTACTTTACTTTCTGACCATGGCTGCAAAATGCAGCAGCAGCAGCAGCTCCTAGCCAGGTCCCAGAGCCCTGGAAACGCAGGGAAAGCAATAAACTAGGGCAGCTCAGTGCTTTCTCCCCCAGCTCTGGCCTGCAAGACCACAAACAGAAGTGGAGGGAAGGCACAGGCACACCCACTGCAGAGGGCCCTGAGTAGCACATCTGTGAGACTCATAAAACAGGCACTGGCTCTGGGATGGGGAAAGGGTCCTGGGGCAGGAGACGCAGGAAGTGGGCCGAGAGGAGAAGGAAGCCAGCAGACACTGCGGAGGGAGAGGCAGGGTCTGGGGTGGGATCAGGTCACAGGTGTAGAGGCTCAGGGCTAGGGTGTGTGAGGACGCGTCAGCCCGAGACCCTGTGCCCGACAGCCAGATGGGCTCTGCTCCCGACTGGTCACCGTGCCCACCTCCCTGCTGTGGAGAAGCATTATGTTGGTCTGCACTGCCTAGTGCAATGGAGAAACTTACTTTTTAATTCATTCATACGCAGCGAGTTTCAATTTATTTTGTCTTGTTTGGGTTTCTGAGACAAGGTCTCACTCTATGGCCCCGCCTGGTTTTAACTCCTAGCTTCTAGCCATCCTTCTGCTTCAGCCTCCTGATAACTGCGATGACAGGCAGGAGCCACAGGCCCAGCTCTCAAGTCCCTGACTATGAGTGGGTACTCATGGCCTGGGGGGAGAGGGGGACAGGGTGACAAGAGTAGCCTCTCAGACCACAAGGGCCAGCACACCAGATATGCTTAGTAAGGAGGACACAGAAATACTCACAGCTGGGCTGGGCAGGCAGAGGGTTGGTGCCAGGGCGGGAGAAGGAAATGGTTCCAGGCTCTGACCAGGGATCTGAACCCAGCAACTCTCAATTCTCTGCTGTGGGAACAAGTGCTTCCCCTTTAGCGCTTCCCCCACGCACTGCCCGAGCCAGCAGACACCTGGGGGCTGCTCAGAGCACTGCTGTGCAGACAGCTACTGCCACCCTGTGCCCGGCCTTTCTGGAGCTGACAGACTTCCCACAGTTCCAGAGAGGAAAATGCACCCAGACTGCCGTCTCAGTCAGGCTGAGTGGCAGGCACCAAGCAGCTGTATGGTGCGAACTCACAACGGATCTCAAGCTATAGATGGCCGTGTTGAATGGAGAAAATAAATGGAACGAACGATTTAGAAATTCTGTTCCACTTGTGTCTTAGTCACTTTTCTCTCATTGCTGAGACAAAATATCTGACACCAAAAGTGCAAGGAGGAAAGGTTTATTTAGCTCACAGTTTGTAGAGGTTTCAGTTCATAGTTGGTTGGCTCCTAGTAAGGGTGGCATTGCAGAGGAGAAACAGTCCATGGCAGGCATACAACAGAAAAGCCACAAGGCAGGACCACATCCTTCCTGTTCTTATATCTCATCCAGGCCACTTTGGGTGGGCGGCACTCACACCTTAATCCTAGTGCCCTTAAGCCTAGCCTTGCACCAGGAATCAATCCCAGTGTCACACACCCTGGACCCAGCCACCTCTGAAAAAGCCAAGGTATAACCGCATGAGGCTTTGGGGGGACATCCAGACCCAAACTATAACAACCTGTCATTTATTATCAAATATGTGGCCATCATTAAACCTGATTCTTTTTTCCCTCCTGGCGATTGTGAGCAAAACTGGGCTTTGAACCCTAGGCCTTCACACTGAGCTGCAGCCCCTCTTTTACTCTTTTTGATTTTGAGCCTGAGTCTTGCTAAGTATCCTGGGGTGGGGTGCTGTCCAACTTGAGATCCTCCTGTTTCAGCCTTTGAGGCTGCTGAGATTACAGGCATGTACCACCACGCCCAGCTTCAACCTAACTCCTGAACTCCTCTCTCTTCTTGGTCCCACTGTAAAGCAGCTGCCATTTCCTTGCCCCTTAAATCAGTGTAATTCTTACAGAATCAATCATTCCTTTTCTCTCCCACACTAATTTCCCCCTTGCTCAGGATAACCCTGCCAGCCCCCACTTGCTGATGGCCTGGCCCTCGGATAGCTCAGCTCAGTGGCAGGACTTGGGGACAGGGTCAAAGCGGGCCAGGCCTCCCAGGTCAGGGCCTTGGAGCCCGGCCTGAAAGCCAGTTGCCTATGGATGTGAGTCCCTGCCCGTGGGGTCACCAGGCCTCCGGAGAGTCCTGTCGGCTTCCCTAGTGGCTGACATCCTTCTGTCCCCTGTGAACACCTCCCCGGACCAACCTGCCATCGCCATAGGAACCCCGCCTGGGGAACCCACCCCAGATCCTGAGCACCGTGGACAGGGCAGGGGGTGGAGAAGGCAGAAGGAGCAGGCGAGGAAGGGGCTTGGCCAGCAGGGATGGGGAGAGGTCCAGGGACTTGAGGTCGGGCAGCCCACAGCCCTGGATGTCACCCTCTCAACCTATGAAAGAACTACAGCCAGGCCTTAGGGCCTCCACCCTGAGCTGTCCCCAGCCCCTACCCCCTTGTGAAGCAGGGTCTCACTAAGGCGCTAAAGTGCTCAGACTGGGCTCTAACTTTCCATCCTCCTGCCTCAGCTTCCCGGAGGGCTGGGATTTAGGGGTCCACCACCAACACCTGCCTCAGTTTCTAAGCAATGTCATTAGTAGGGATGGCAAGGGCGTCCTGAAGTCCGCGTTGGCAGCTGCCCACTCTGCAGAGAGAAGCCGCTGCAGCCTTAGCTGAATCTGGGGTGCGGGGCCTGATTCTGGGGTCTGCAGCGGTGCTGCCCAGGCCCAGCCTCCCCGGCACCCGAGCCCCGAGCCCCTCACGGGCCCGCGGCCCGGCCTCTGCACTCCCCTCCGGGGCGGCAGCACCTGCTCAGGGCCCGGGCTTTCTGACCAGGCGCCTGTCCCGGAGACCCCGGCCCCGCCTACCTGTAGCTCCTGTGGTTTCTGAACCAGCTCAGCGCTGGAGTTCAGGTCCTGCTTTCCGGATTTAGGCCCTGTGACCACGCCCTCGCAGGCCCGTCCACCGCTCCTCCCCTCCCCTCCCCTCCCCTCCCCTCCCGGGAGGCCTGGGGGAGCCAGGGAACCAGGAATGCCAGGCTCAGGTGAGAAGGACCTCGCCTCCTGCCCGGGAGACCCCGGGCCCAGGGTCTGCAGGCTGCTGCCTGGACCGCGTGGCCAACCTAGGACCTGATCTAGGTGCAGGATCCTCGGCGCTGCAGGCGTGCACGCGGGATGTGAGCTAAAATAAATCACAGGCAGCTTGCAGGAAGGAAACACTTGGTAACTGTTACCAGTAGAAAACCTTTTCATTTTTTTGCTCGTGAAGTCTAGGTTCCAAGTTTCATAGGAGACAAAGCAGATTCGCTGCGGTTGAAGGTGGGTCCTGAAGGTGTCTGCAAGTTCCTCTCGAGGACCCCCCAGGCTCTCCAGAACAGTACATGGAAAACAACTAGTTTGGGACAGAGCCCAGACTTCTTAGGAAGGCAACCTGCATTTTCCTTGGCTTTTTTTCGGGACTGGGAATCAAACTAGAGACCTTGCACTTGCGAGGCAGGCGCCATCCACTGAGCTAACCCCTCTCCTCTTCTTTCAGTCCCTGGCCACGAGGTCAGCAGCTCTGCTCCACCACACACTCCCTGCCATGATGTAATGCCCTGCTCCAGGCCCAAAGGCAAGGGGACCAACTGACTCTGGGCTGAACCCCGAGCCAAAATAATTTCCTCCTTACAGGTCAATTAACTGTCTTGGGTATGTTGTGACAGCAATGGAAAGCTGACTTGCCAAGGTCTGATTAAATTACAGCTCTTTCTTGAGTTTCCATAAGAACTTAATTCTTTACCACTTTCCTACTTTCGTCATCTTGTAGATATTTCAGCAAAGAACGGACATTATTTTCTCTCTGCTTTTAGGAGAGTTGCTAGTGTCTTTGTGATCGGGTTGATAAAATGCCTTGTTCTCTTGGGAAAAGCTGTTAGGTTCCTAAGGACACTGGGAGGAGGGACCAGGGCTCCAGGTGGCAAGGAGGACCTTTGCTGGGAGTGCGGTGGCCTGCTTCAGAAGCAATGGAACTGTGGAGATTGAAGTGGGTCGGTCCCTGTACGGCAGCCGAAGGGCACATCCAAGTGAAGTTTCAGACCTCTCACCAGGTCAGCGGGCTCAGGCCAGATTTAGTTTGAGTTAATCAACTAAAAAGTGATGCCACTTGTTCCTCAAGTGGCTGAAGCAATTTCCACCTGTTGCATATTCCTACATAAATGATTCATACAGAAATATAACACTGTAGCATTTTTAAAAGCTCTGACTTTACATGTGGTGATAAAACGGAGGCTTCACGAAGTGAGCCCTCAGGAGTGAGTTATCGACCCTTTTCACTCTGACCTCAACACTGTCTAGCATTTAGAAAATCCCTACTAAGACCTTTCAGTCGTTGGCTTGAGTTTTCAGAGATCATGGAAGAAACTGAGAAGCCAGCACTCAACAGTCATGGGGACTTAGACGGCGGCTGTCAAAGGGACAGTGAAAGTGAACAGTAAGTTTAAGCAGCTGCTGGGCAGCTGGAGAGGTACTGAAATTGGTCTTTCCTTTGTTAATTCTGAATTGTAGGTAATGTCCTTATACAAATTAACTCACTTATGCCAAAGATTGAAATTGTTTGAATGTTTGCATGAAATTCATTTATGTTACCTAGAAAAATTCAAGGAACAAGAATTTGAAAAGAACACATTTCATTATATTCCATTGTTCTGAGGATTCAAAAAATGGATCACTAGGCATTGAAGGGTAAAGATATAAATTAAGAGTTGGGGAAAAGAAAGAAAAGAAGGTAGATCTGACATAGAATACAACCACCCACGTGTTAAGGGTCAGGACTCAAACTGCTGGGTAAAGAAATAGGGACACATTCGGTTCAATTATATTTTAAACTTAACTGTTACACATTTCAAAATCCATCTTGCTAGAATTAGCCTCTGCTAACAGCTTTCTAATCATTATGCTCAGGACTTTCCTCTTTTCACCTCTAAAGCCGAACACAAGTCTGTCCTGGAACTTCATCTTCGTCTTGACGTTCAAGCTTCTGGAGAAACCTGGGGCCCAGCAAACCGATAAGCAGGCTTCCAATGGGGGCCGTGATGAGAATGGCCAAAAACGCCACTGTCAACACATCCATTCCGTAGCGTTCTAACTGCTCCTCTCCGTGTGACCGCGCCATGTCCAAAGCCACCGATCCTATTGCAGCCTAAAGTTGGAGACAAGACAAGCACATATTTGCAAAACTAACCTGCTTATTCTTCTGCCCAACTAAGAAAGCTGTATTAGTCTTCTTTCAAAATGTACTGCCGTTGGCTTGGATCATCTACAAATTCTCCCTGCCCTTGCACAGGGACAAACTGATGACGCAGATGTACCTACCTGTAGGGTTCTGAAATATCAGGCACACACACCTCAGAATGCAAGGACAATACAAACTGACAGTGTTAATCCAGTGCATGTGTAGCATCAAGTTCTACATACTAAATTTCTTCCGAGTAAAGATGAAAGTTACTGTTGTTTCATTTTTTGTCTTTAAGACTTTGGAATTAAGAAAAAGAGCCAGGGGCTGGGGATTTAGCTCAGTGGTTTCACCACCTGCTGCGCAAGTGCAAGGACCCGAGTTCGATCCCTGGCACCAAAAAAAAAAAAAAGAAAGAGCCAAGCATGGTGCATGCCTGCAATCCCAGCGCTCTCAGAGACCGAGGCAGGAGAATTGCAAATTGAAGCCCAGCCCCAGCAACTTGGTAAGACCTTGTCTCAAAAATAAACAAGCAAAATTTAAAAAGAGCTGAGAATGTAGCTCAGTGAGAAAGCCCTGGGTTCAATGACCAGTACGGGAGAGAGATGGGGGTGGGGTGGGGTGGGGTGGGGAGAATATATTCACAGGATTCTAATGAAATTTTAAATGTGTTGTTTTATAGCCTAATAGCCTAGACTAACTGTGAAACAAAATGACCCATGAAAGTGTTCATGTCTAAAACATGAAGTTAATATTGTTAGGTGTTTGGATAATTGCCTCAGAAGTCGGTAGTATGTTGTATTTAAAATAAACTACTGGTCCGCTTGCCTCGCAAGCGCAAGGACCCGAGTTCGATCCCTGGTACCAAAAAAAAAATCATAAAATATACTACTGGAAAGTTTTATGAAAATTCTCATTTTTTCAAAGAGGTAAAATGTAATATTCTGAGTGCACATAGGGAAAGTTATGTTAATCAATGTGATTATCTCTTATTCCATTGAGTAGAACAACATTGGCCTTTAAGATGGTGAAGCAGAAGGGAAAATACCGTGCATCAGACAGCGCGGCAGGGACCGGCAGCTGCCCGCAAACATCGTAAACATCACGTCACCTCCCTCTAGGGAGAATTTACATCTTCCGGGCCCCGGCCACTAGATGTCGCTGTACATGTCAGTTCTGGCCACGAGGGAGCGCGTGGAGGGGTAAGAGCCCCTCAGGCTCCTGGAGAAGGAATGGACGGGCGCTCCGTGCGCCTCCCTCTTCCTCCCCGGGCTGCAAGCGGCAAAGCTGACTCGTGGATGCGAGGCACCGGCGGAGGTTGGCCCAGGAGGGCCCTGGCGGCCTGATGGGAAGGGGAGAGCGGTCTCTCACGAGTCCCCGTGCGCGGAGGCTGCTACCCAGGGCGGCCCGGTCTCAGAGCTACTCCACAGCTACGAACTCCCTGCAGGAGCCGCACGTATTGCTCGGCAGGGTGTTTCTCTCTCAGTTCTCTACCTGCGTGTACTGCACGAACGTTTGGGGATTGGTCTGTGTGCCGTATTGTGATTTAAAACAGATCTCTCACACCAGATAGGTCGTAGAAAAGGAACTTTTAACAAATACTAATGCAGAACGAGTATCTCTATCTATATGAGAGTATTGTTTCTTGTGCAGCATCCATAGCAGAGAACAGAAAATTCTATACGCTCAGCCCTGCCCGTCCCTGCTCTGCTCCTATAAATTTAACCAAGTATAGATTGAAAAAATTAAAAATAAATTGCATCTGTACTGAATGCACAGTTTTTCCTTGTCATTATTGCCCAGGGACATGACAACTGCTCACATAGTATTTACACTGTAATAGGCTCTGTAAGTAATCTAGAGATGATTTAGAGGGTATGGGGGATGGGCATAACTCATCTACACGGGGTGGGCGAGGGGTCCACCCCAGGGGACACGAGGGAGGGACGTCTTTCACAGCACACGGTGTCCAAGACAGCCTCGCTTATGTGTCCACATTCGAAAATATTGCTCTCACGGCGGGAGGCTGGCATCTTTGAAATATCACTTTAGAAACACATCTCCCACACATAGAGTCACTATTTTGATATTTACTTACTGAAGTTACTATAAATAGTGTTAGCCAATATGTCCCAGGCTAGTGGACAAAAAGAAAAAACTCTGGGATAAAGCCCAAGCCCACAATCGCATCCAATCTGGAATACAATTACAGAACACACACATCTTCTAAAACCTCTTAAATTAAGACATCTGATTTTCATGTATGAAAATAAAAGTTTGCATATATCAATAAATTGCAAATTAATCAGAGAAAGAGAACAGTGAAGTCTTATTTGATGTAAGTAATCCCAAAATATACAATAGTCAGGGATACATTACATTTGCAACAAGTTATAATTATACAGTTCTAATTTAATGAACAATTACAGGTATTCTAACAAATGCACAATCAACAGTTGAAGCACCTATCTATAAGTGCTGTCTTTGTTACTTGCTCATTAGAGTACACAGGTTTTGGGTCAAAAGATTGAAACATTTCTCAGGAGTTTTGGCTAATTGTGAATAATTAATAGCAATTAACAATCTAGAAAAGCAATACAGTAGTCCCCCTTATCCTGAGATGTACCAAGATTCCCAGTCCTCTATGAGGCAGACAGCACCAAGCCCTATATATACATGCTTCTTCCTTATTAAGCTAAGAACTTTCACATTTTCTTTTTTTTGGGTACCAGGGATTGAACTCAGGGCCTTGCGCTTTAGAGGCAGGTGCTGGGACTACTGAGCTAAATCCCTGGCCCAGAACTTTCACCTTTTAACTTACAGGAAGCCTTATGTCTCCTCTTAGGCTAATGCAAATTGCAGGCATAGCCATACCTGGGCTCTGGGCCGTTATTGTGTAAATAAGGATCGCGGAACACAGCTCTGCCTCACTGCCACGGTTGACCTGACACCTGAGAAGATCAGTGTGCGCCATGTGGATATGCGGGGGAAAAGGAAGAGTCAAGTCCCCGCAGGACGCTGCAGGATGGAGTGGGACAGTGCAAGGTTTCATCCTGCTATCAAAACTGCACACAGTGTAGAACTTACAAACCCTTCCCTTCTAGAATTTTCCACTTAGCATTACTGGATTGTGAGCAGACATGGGTGACAGAAGCCACAGGAAGCAAAACTGTGGATAAAGGACTACTGGGAGGCATTCGCTCAGTTTTTTCGATAAATCTTTCTTGATTGTGTATACTTGGGTCAACAATAAGTGATCCTCACTCATACTGACGCAGAAGTACTTCCAAACTTTAGGATAGGCCATGCTATTTCTTTTTTTTTTGGTACCGGGGATCGAACTCTGGTCCTTACGCTTGCAAGGCAGGCGGTGGAACCACTGAGCTAAATCCCCAGCCCTGGGCCATGCTATTTCTGTAGTACTCTCTTTTGGAAGACACTGAACAGTTTGCATTTTTTTTTTTTTTTTGAGACAGGGCCTCACTATGTAGTTCAGGGTGGCCTTGAACTCACTATGTAGTTGAGGCAGGCAGGCTTTGAGTTTGTAGTGAACCTCCTGCCTCAGCCTCCCATGTGCTGGGATTACAGGTGAACACCACCACTCTTGTCCTGGAAGACACTGAAATCAAGAGTTCACATCTCTTTCTTCAGGTAACTTAAAGAGCTCTGACTGATAAAAATTCAAACGAACCCCTCCTGTTGCTACTGCCCTCTACTTGCGTAAGGGTTTCCTGGATTTCCAGTTTTATTCTGGTGGTGAAAGGTATTTAAATGAGCCATCACATTTAAAGAAACAATATACTACAAATAAAAGTTTTTCATTATGAGGGGGGGTTTGAGATAGAACCCAGGGGCTCCCTCAGGCTAGGCAATTTTTTACCACTGAACACATTCCCCAGACCTTTATTTTATTTTTTGGTACTTTTATAATTTTGAGGCAGGGTCTCACTCAGTTGCCGGGGCGACCTCAAACTTCTACCCCTCCTGCTTCGGCCTCCCAAGTGGCTGGGGACTGCAGGTGTGCGCCACCTCACCCGGCCCCAAGATAAAACTTTTAGAGTAGATTCATATATAACTCTTTATAAGTCCAAACACAATTGTCATACATACCATAATCATTGTCATACATTTAAATAAGCCTTTTTACTCAATATTTTGAGGTATCATAGAGAAGTAGTTGAAATGGTGAGCTATCCTGTCCATCATTACCTGGACTGTTGCCTTTGGAAGCCACGCGAAAGAAATAAATAGCTTTTCCTTTATGTTAAAACCAGCAAAACACACCATTAGAAATGTGGTCAGAATTCGTATCAGCACTGCAATGCCCAAGGTGGCAACACAGGAGCCTGTGAGAAAGATTCAACTTTTAGAAATAATGAAATACTAGTGGAGAAAGTGCAGCTACTGATCCAAAATACTACCAATAGGAATAATGTAAAAACCTTAAAACTTTAAAATATGAAAATGTTTAGTCATGTTATCAAAAAATCAATATCGAGCATCAATTTGTTTAAAATGTTTTCTCTAGATTAAACCCAGAAATTAAACATTTGAATTCTTACAAAGGAGATTTAAAGGTTATATCTCTTTATACTTTACAGCAAGATCCACACTTTCTTCCATGTGCTTATTTAAGCAGAATTAATTAAATAATATGCACAACAAGCTTTAAAATGTAAAATGTAGTGTTTTCTTCTATGTGGCTCTAAACTGGAGCGAGACAGAAACATTTGTCCTATGTGGTAAAGTGAAGTATGAGCTGGTACATGAGTATAGAAGAGGAAAAACTATTTCACCAAAGTAGATGAGAATCCTTTCCAGAGAGTCAGCCTGGAGGTGGCAATTATACTTATCAAGCAGTATGGGGGAGACAGGGCTGGAACTGCTACTGTGTTACACAGAGAGCCACAAAACCCTTCCGTGAAGAGACCACAGTGCAGCTTCTGCATGGCCCTCCCGCAGTGTGTCTGCAGCTCAGGAGGGACAAACCAGCTCCTCAAGGTCAAAGTGTAGACACTGCAGGGGATCTGTGGTGGATCTGCAATGTGGCTTCCTCCTGGAAGTTTCTGTGGATTTGCGGAAGTTTTCTCCCAAGCTGGAGGTGCTCAGAAGCTTCTGCTGCCTGAAGCATGGGACACAAGAGAGCTGTTTTGGGGACTGCAGAGTTTGTACTTGATGTTGCCAGTGCAGGTGAGGTCAGAGGGGTGACACATGGGGTAGCATGGACAGCCTTGGAAACAACTTTGACGAAGAGCAGCATTTGAGCTACATGTGGTACAGAGAAGGACACACAGGGCTTCAAGATCTAGCAGGATTCACAGTGTTTTAAAGAAGCAGCAGCACCAAATGCTGCTAAGAGATGAAACAAAACAAAGACTGGATTCAGTGATACAATCTTGGGAGCGCATGGACTGAGGAAAAGAACTAGTGCTTAAGTGGAAAAGGGAAATGCAGTTACTTTTTTTGGAAAAGTTTAGAAGAAGGAACAGTGTGGTAGGAAAGGGGTCAAGTGAAATGGAGAAAGAGTACACCCATCATCTCTCCAGAATTTTCATCATATTTTAACATGTTATTTTACATCACGGTAAGATATATGTAATATTTACAATCCTAGCCATTTTAAGTGTACAGTTCAATAGCATTAAGTATATGTATACTATTGTGCAACTAATCTCCAGAACATTTTCTCCTTGCAAAACCTGGATGCTATTCTCATTAAACAGTCACCCATTTCCCTTCCTCAGTGTCTGGTATCCACAGTTATCCTTTCTGTGTCTATGAACCCAACTGCTCTGGGAACACTGGGGAGGTGGCATCAGTGGAGTAGTAGTGCTTTTGTGCCTGGTGCATCTTACTCAGCCTGGCGTACTGGAGGTTCATCCATGTTCCGGTGGGTGTCAGAATGGAAGCCTGTCTTTTTAAGAAAAGAGATTAAAGGGCGTTTAAATTCTAAAGAGGAATAAACTATGAAAGGATATTTGAATATGGAGGAGGAAAAGGGAAGAATCTGTATTTGTAATTCAGAAGGAGGTAGAAGGGATGGGATTCCAACATGGGTGGAAGGAGAGGAGAAAGGAATGAATATATGTACACAAAGCAATGAAAGCATAGTATTGTGAATCAAGAGTTTTGCTATGATGGCTTTTGAGTGTATGAGTGTATAGGGAATGGGAACATTACTGAAGACTCTTGCATTGGGTCTTAGTCTCCTATGAGGCAATACAACACATGCTAATAAGAATAAAGACAGGAAACAAGACTTAGAGAGAAACTGGGTCTTGGGCTGATCTATTCTGCTCTGGGCAGCAAAGACAAAGGGCACCAAGGGCACCCAGTGTTTATTGATTTCCAGTGTGGGAAAGTGAGCAGGGTATGCTTGGAAGACATCCAGCGATATAGTATGAAGCATCTGGAAGCATCTGGGAATAGCCCATGTGCAAGCAGGGTTGTAAAAAGGGGAGGCACTGCTTATCTTGCTTGGAGAGAACAAATGGGTACTGGGACTGGGTCGAAATTAACCAGACCCTGCTAATACTGGGCAGGGATGTCTGCTACACAAGTGACTAGAAGAGGGAACAACAAACATTTCTATTTCATGGGTATGTATCACAGAGCTAACAAATTATCTTTAAAATTCTGGCCCATGATCAGAACAAGGCTACGTGAACATTTTTATCCTTAGAGAAAAAAAAACCACTGTCTTGAGTATTCACTGTTTTAGATAAGCAAGCATTATTTTCTAAACACTCTAAAAGACTTAGTTCATAATTAACTTTTCATAGAAGCGTAACAATGGGAATCCCAAACACGTAACTGCTGAAGATGTCTCACCTGAATATACAGAGATCTGATTATCACAAGAACCACTTGAAATCCTTACCAACAGTTTCTGGTCTGAGAGATGCAATAGACACCTCTGCTCCAATCAGACCAAAGAGAAGCGGCTGGAAAATGTCCCAGGCAACTGCAATTATCTTTTCAACCTCTCCCTAAGAGAAAAGCAGAACACACAGAGACATTTTTATATTGGTAAGGGACAAGTGCCAAGACTCTTACCATTTGAAATCTGAGTTATTTGATCTGAGGATGTAGCTTTCTGAAATGTGTGAAGGAAAATGCTCAGCAAAAGGAGAACCCGGCAGGGCTGCAGCTCAGGGCAGAGTGCTTGCCATGTATGTGCAAGGCCCTAGGTTTCATCACAGGCACTCAGGAAAAAGAGAAAGGAGAAGGAAGCCGGCGAGAAAGGTGTCTGGGTTCCACTGCAAGGCAGCCTGCCAACCCAGAGAGCTGCAAGATGGCCCTCAGGGAGGGTACACCCACAGGGCCTCTCCCTGGGACCCTAGTGGAATTGGTGCAAAAAATAAGGAATGAGTAGAAGTGTGGTGTCTTCTTGCCCAAAGGAAGAGTGAAAGCTATATAAGTAGGTGGTTGAGTGTGGTCCCCAGACTAGCAGCCTCAGGACTGTTTGGAAATTTATTGGAAGTACAAATTCTTAAATCCCACTGTAGTCTACCTAAATAGATATTCGGGTATAGGGTCCAGCAAATTTAATTTTACCCTTCCAGGTAATTCTGATTTATATTAAAGTTTGCAAAAATGGCTCTAAGCCGATGAAGTCATAAGGAGATGGTACTTCATGTATTACTGGTGAAAAAGTAGACATATATAACTGTAGAAAGAGGCTTGACAATATGTATTAAAGCCCTCAAAATGATATTACTGGACCCCCAACTTAGAATCTGCCATAAGAAAATGATCAGAAATTTGATTTCAGCTTGATTTAAACAGCACAGGCTGGACGTAACACACACACACACACACACACACACACACACACACACACACACAGATATGCATGCAGATACAGAGATGAACACAAAGGTGTCCATCTCTTCTGGGTCGTGGGATTACATTGACTATCTGTGTAGCAGCTGGGCCACAGGCAGCTCAGGCCAAGGCATGGCAAATGCAGCTGAGGAAGCAATGGTCTGCTTGCTGCAGCCTTCCTGTATAACCTGCATCCTAGTTTTCCTGCAGATGGGTGCAGTGGGAAGGGAGGAGCTGGCCTCTCCCTGTTTCCGCTTCCTGCCGGAAGCTCAAGCTTCTTTTCCTTAAGGAACCTCAAGTTCCCTGGGTTTCTGGGGCTAAAGCCCCTTTTGGGTGCCAGCCCGAATCCTATGGCTCCATCTCAGGTCTTACTCTTTCCTAGCTCATCACTCATGAATTTAAAAGCTTAACTTTGAATTGCAAGATTTAGAGTCACCATGTTCATAAAACACTTGGTATATGTCATTGAAACACGTATCAAAACATTAAAAAACAGACCTCATAATAACACTGCCATCATAGGATAGTACAAGTCACTTTTGGAATCAGATAAATCTGACTGAAAAATATTTTTAGAATAAAATAAAAACATACATAAATTTTTTTCAGTGTGGGGGATCGAACTCAGGACCTTGCACTTGCTTGCGGGACCAGCACTGTGCCACAAAGCTAAATCCCCGGCCCAATTATAAATAAATTAATAAGAGGGTATCAGGATATGCGTGTGATATAGAGTCAGGGCAAATATGATTGTGAATCATCTCCCTTTAGAGGAGGGTGGATTAGTGGGGGCTGCTGGAGGAAAGTGGAGGTTCTGTCACAGTGACACTGATGTAGATGTTTTCTTGTGTGGTGTAGAAAATAAGGAATGGTGTTTCTAGGATTGATAAGGTCTTGGAAGTCTTGAGATGTGGCACGCGTAAGGATTTTGTAGCGAACACTGTTTGTCTTGGCATAAAACCGGAGCAACCTAAATGTCCCTAGCAGGGTCTGACTACCTAAAGTGTGGCCTCGCCACACAGTGGAGAGCCCGCAGCCATGCCCACCATGGAGCTGAAGACCTCAATTCCAGACCGACAGGGAGTGGACACTGTGTCTCTATGCACCGGGGCACCCTTGTATATGTACAGAAAACAGCTCCTAGGGTCAAACGGTGACTAGGGTTAGGAATCTGAGCATAAAAGATGACTCAAAAAGACATCAGAGAGGAAGCTGGGAAGAAAGTCACCTTCTCGTCGCTCCATCCCATGCCCGCCAGGAAAGCCATGACCAGCGTGCACAGCCCGCCGGAGCCTGGGAAGCCGAGGCGCACGCTGCTGAACACCGCCAGCACGGAGAGGCCCAGCAGCAGGCAGGCGCGGGTCAGCGCCAGAGGGGCCTGCGGACGGAGGGAGAGGGCGTGAGGCGGCTGCCGCGAGGGGCTCCCAATCCAGGATTCAGAGGAAAACGAGACCGAGTCTCCTCTTCCTCCAGAGCGGACACGATGCGATGCAGACCTGGTCCTCTGAGGGAGCCAGCTGGCCTCCTGCGCAGTTAGCAACGCAGACTTGGCCAGCGCAGTAGCAGAGGGGCCAGGGCTGCAAGTCCAGCTTTCAGCATCACTGCTTTCCCTCTCCCAGCTGTGACCGCTCTGAAAGCACCTTGGCCTCGGGGTTCCGGTGACGGTTAAAGCTGCGTCTCTAAGCAGGTGTGCTGCTGTGTGCCGGTCATCCCGGCATGCCGGGGGGCTGAGGCAGGAGTGTGGCAAGTTCTAGCTGGGCCTGCACAACTTGGTGGCCCTGTCTCAAAATTTTAAAACAATCTTAGAAAAGGCTGGGGATGTAGCTCAATGCAAAGTCCCCAGGTACAATTTCCAGTACCCCCCCCCCCCCAAGAAAGAAAAATATATTTATTCTTTTCAGTCTTTTTACTCTTTCTTTTGATACTTGGTTTTTCTTTCCAAATTCTTGAACACCAGGAAGGTTTTAAGAGGCGAGAGCGGTTGTTTGTTTGTTGTCCCACCGTCTAAGGACGCTGTCCTTCCCCCTTTGCTTTTCCCTCTTAAATCCCTGACCACGGAAGGAAGTAGTCTCGGAAGTACTTGCCTTGGGCCACCTGGTGCAGGCTGGGTCGCCTCTCTCCCAGCAGCCTCGCTGCTCTCCAGCCAGTGACTGAGTGTGCAAGCCTTGTCCTGGGAGCCTCAGTCTCCCCGGGGACCCAGGGTGGTGGGAACAGCGCTCTCCCTATGGACCGTGTGTGGCCTGCACCAGACAGACTTCCGCAGGAAGCTCAGTGATGGTGGAAACATCTGTATCCACTGCCGCCGCCCCAGCTGGTGGCTGGTAACTGAGCAGAGGGTCACCATGCCAGACTCAGTTTACCTTGTCAGTTTAGCTCAGTAAGAAGCAAAATGTAAGCTATTGTATTTCTGTTTATTTTACTGTGTAATTAGAATAATCCTATAATTTTTTCCCTTCTTTTCTTCATTTTTTTCTTTTTTGAGACAGGGCCTCCCTACATACACAGTCTGCACTGGCCCTGAACTTGCTTTGTAGCCCAGGCAGGCCTTGGACTTGCAATCCTCCTGTCTCAGCCTCCCAAGGGCACCCAAGTGCCACCATGCCTGGCTCTATAATTTTCCTTTACACATTCATAACCTCTTTTCAAATGTTTTTACTTGGAGGGTTTTGCAGCACAATAAAAATTTCAAATCAACAGACAGTTTGATGATAGAAATGTTAATTTTCTTCATTCAAAGTTCTTTAGTGAAGTTTCTAATTCCATTCAAAATGTTCTGAAATTTCAGAATAATGCTAGTTTAACCAAAAGAAAATATTTCCAGATGTTTATCGACCTGGAGGGATTTACCGGGGTAAAGGAAAATAAAACTTTTGTTTTTCATCACAAGATCATTGTGTACAGTAAAGAACTTTGTTCTCCTTATGGAGATTTTGCTATATTATAATAATCTTTAAATTATAATGATTATAATGATTATTAAATGTTAAGACTTATCCATTTAATAATATTAGAATCTAACAAAGACAGAGGCCAAAAGTTATCATATACTTAATTTAGTTGTGTATTACCAAATTTTAAAAATTGCACAGACTATTATTTTGGAGTTAATGTTACTCATTTTAGAGTGAAATATGAAATGTTTAGAATACGAATTAGAGAAAATGATACCAGGACTTCACTAAGATCTCACATATCTGTCTCATAAACAACACTGATAGACCAGTGAGTTTTAAAACAGGGATCCTTTCTCAAACATGCTCTTCACATCCAGCTTTGAGGGACATGTTCTAGCATGCTCTTCCAGTGACCTTCTAGAGTGCGACTTTCCCACGGATGATTTCTTTCACCTGGTCACGGCTTGGAAAGTACCGGATAAAAAATCCAAGAAGAACTCCAGTTGCCACACCGATCGCCACCTCCAAAACACCTTTGAGCACGTTAAACGCGGTGGAGCCTGAAAAGCACACCGAACAAGACTTCAGACAGAACTGTGCACCCATCAACTCGCAAGCATCGGTCTGTGGTCATCCACATGAAGAACTAAGTACGTGGAAGGAATTCTTCTCCTTTCCACAACCTTAAACAAAGCTGACTTAGCCGGGTGTGGTGGCACACGCCTGTAATCCCAGCACTCAGGAGGTTGAGGCAGGAGGATCACTGTGAATTCAAGGCCAGCCTGGGCTACATAGCACCCCTGTCTGAAAAAAATAAAAGGTGACTGAAGGTGTTTAACAAAATAGGCATTTTTTTTTTTTTTTGTACCAGGGATCAAACTCAGGTCCTTGAGCTTGCAAGGCAGGCGCCGGAACCACTGAGCTAAATCCCTGGCCCTAAATAGGCATTTTTTATAAAGAGAATACAGTGATACCTTGGTTCATGAGCTTAATTCTTTCTACAATTCTGGTCGCAAACTGAATTGGATGAGAACTGAATCAAATTTCCCCATAAGGTCAACATTGAACCTAACAAATGACTTTGATTAGGTTTGTTCTACTATATTATATATATTATAATATATATATTATATATATTATAATATATATATTATATATGAGTTAAGCAAGTAGATAGATCTAGGTAAGTTTTCAAATTACCATTTAAGAGCTTGTTTTTATAAAAAGTAATAAACATAAATATCGACTTCAATAGCTCTGATATGTGCAGAATAAAGTAATTTAATGAAAATTAAGAATCTTCTTACTCCTTCTCAAAGGTCTACTCTAACAGTAAATCTGAAAATAAATTATTTCTGAAATGTCTCTAGAAACACCTCTGTTGCTTAACTTTTGAAATATTATAGTCATACGTGAAGCCTGTATTTTCCCTCACACCACACAAGATTAAGGAAACTTTAATTTAAAAAATTTCTGAGCACACTGTACTGAAAACTCCGCTTAAATTGCTTCCCTGTGTAAAGCCATTCTTCAAGATGGGCCCGAGGGAAAATGCGCTAGCCTGTCACTGTGGTTTCTTGTTGTTACAGCAATCACCTCCCTTATTTAAAAATAACTACTTGGAGTAATTTTCTTAGCTAGCATCGCTCTGTTAGGCAAATGGTGTGGCAGCCAATAGCCTCGAGTGTGCTAGGAGCCTTACACTCAAGCTGTACCTAAATCACTTACTCTAAATCATGGGAGTGGCTAATTGGTTTCAGTCTCTTGCTTGCTGAAGTTGTTTTTTAAAACCCCTTGGGCCCCAGCCTTAAAAATTCTAATTGAGTGAAGCCAGCAGGGCTCAGGTTCAAAAGGTCTGAGGACTGCACTGACTGAGGACTGAGGATAAGCAGGGTGATGTTACAGAGTCCATCAGGCAGGTTCTTCAAGCTGTCCCTGTCCGGAGCCTCGAGTCCCCGCCAGACCAAGAAAGCCCTTCCCGCCTCGGCCCGTCACCCCTGCCTTCGATGCCCCAGCGAGCTCCTGCTGTGAACTTCGACTGCTAACCCTGCTGGGCCCTGGTTTCCGTTCCCAAAGGTTCTGATCTCGATGGAGGACATGATGCCCACATTTCTTTCAACTCTCCCAGTAATTCTAATGTGTGATGAAGGCCGGGACCCATTGTTTTAAAGGTGTATACATCGGAACACGTAAAAGTATAAATTTACATGGATATAGCAGCGTTACAATGAGCACATGCGTGTTGACTGGACTCAGTGTACATTCGGAATCTTTGCTGGTTCCTGGACTAGAAAGTGACATTATGAAAACTGCTTGGGGAAGACGAATTTACCAGGGCCTGGGTGGAAGGCCACTGCTGGGCCCGAGTGGTATGGAATCTGCATGCGGGAGGCTTACTAGAGGGAATGGCAGGAATGGGGGCCGTGTGCTTCCACCGAAGAATCTAAGGCTGAAGTCAGGCTACAATTACACTGTCACTAACAGGAAGTGCAAATTTTATTTCCCAGTTTTGGATGAAAGATGAAGGAAGTGAGTTAAACTGGTGCTGTGCCAAAGGACAGTAAAGGCGTGGAATCTCCTCTCAGCCTTCGGTCCATACCCATTTAACAAAGGTGTTGAAGAATGGTACCTGTGTGTGCCCGTGTGTGTGTGTGTGTGTGTGTGTGTGTGTGTGTGTGTGTGTGTGTGTGTGTGTGTGTGTAGGGCTGCCTTAGGCTCCTCTTCTCTTACTACTCAGAACAAAACACATCCATCCAGAACCTTACTGAGCACTGGAAAGGCGCCCATGAAACCTCGCGGCTGTTCCCCCATCAAATGCCAACAAGGAGAGGGCACAAAGGGTCCTGCTTTAGAAGCATGCTGTGCCTCCCAGCTGCACTGCTCTGTCCTGTGCGCCCACTGAGAAACCCCCTCACCCTCCGTCTGAAGTCTCTGGAATTCGACTTTCTCAGATCTCTGCAAACAACAACCTTGAGCTCCTTCTATGCCGTGGTGTGCGACTCTCACAGCCTGTACTGTGAGGAAGGGAGTGCGGATCCTCAGCTCCTGTCCCTCCTCAGGTACACAACTCGCTGCTGTTTTCCATGTTTTTAACTTGCCTTGAGCAAACAAGCCATGCTTATAGCATTTTAAGTGATGTCCCCAAAGATAAAGAGCAGTGTGCGGTGCACAGAGTAGTTTACCTGTGGAAAAGGCTATGCCCAGGCAGGTGTTGAAGCCTGTGATGGCCAGGATGTCATCGAAGCTGCCCGCGGCCATGAGTAAGGTGGGGACCCCCTTCTCTACCCCATAGCCCCCCTCCTGCAGAAGGAGCATTGAAGGCACCACCACGGCTGGGGACACAGCGCCTAGGACGAAACTGACACACAGCACTTCAGACATAATCCCACTTTGTTATCATGTGAAAAACCAAAGAGCCTGTAGCTTTTAACCTTGACTCCTTTCGGTCAGACTTTGGACTACAATAGTCTTTCTAATAGCGGAGAAATGCCAGTCAGAAACACATGGACACGAGTGTTCTCTAGAACATGGACCTCCAGAGTCTACTGTGGGCAACCTGTTTGGGAACCAGACTGCCTAAAGTAGGTATTTTATACTGATGAATGGCATGGGAGAATTAACAGCGTTAGGCCCAGGAAGCTGTGCTTTAAACAAAATGTTCATGTTAGGACTTTTGAAAACCTGGCATGGACATCTGAACCGGAACCCAGGGCTGGTGTGTAAAGTAAGATGCAGGTCCTAAGGAGAAGGCTGCAGTGACCGGAAATGATGCTAACAGCAGCAGCTATAACTGAAGGCATCTGAAATGCTTCCTGTGTGCAGCCCCACTTGGAACTCTTCTGATGAACTGATTTCATTCTCACCGCAACCCTGTGAGATAGATGCCGTGTGTCTTCCTGCTACAAGTGAGGACACAGGCACAGTGGCACTAACACTGTGCATGCCAAAGAGCACACTGGGAGTGGCAGAGCTGGGTGCAGTCCAGGCGGCAGAGCCCAGGGTTGTCACCCTGAGAAGTGGGAAGTTCTTACTTCTACCAAGGACTTACTCATATCCTTGCTGCTTTGCTCGCCACTGGAAGCGAAAGCTGAGCCTGGGGAAGGGACAGAAGCACCCCGAGGGAGCAGAACCTTTGTGCAGACTCTGAGCATGACCCAGCAGCCCCCACCAAAGGCCCTGGCCTCCTCAATGGGCTGAATGGCCTCGGGCGCTGGGAAAGCGCTTGCAGAGAGCAGACTCCTGGGAGAGGAGTACTGAGGCCACACTGGATTACCCAGGCCGCGTTTTCCAGTGTCCTTCAGAAAACCCTTTTGTACACACTGCGGTATGGAACCAGGGGAGGCCACAAGTGTCGCCGCACGACAATACGACAGAGAAACAAATCCTTACCCCAGTATAAATCCCCACTGCCACGGCAAACCCATCAGGAAGTGGGCAAGAATGGCAGCTGTACACGCCTCCACGACACAAGGACCCAGGGACAGGCGCACGCAGACGCCCTTCAGCTTCTTCAGGGCCTGGATGTAAACAGACACCCGATACAACCGACCCTGCAGCCTCGCACAGCACATGGCCCTCAGCGCCCCCGAAGCCTCCGACCACGCCTGGGTACAGTGAGTCTTCCAGGTGTTCAGTTTCACTCAAACATTTCTGCATTCTAAGGGTTTTGGGGACACCTTGTGTTGCCTTCATAGTAACTCCATGAAACAGGTAATATTATCATCCCCAGTTTTTAGATGCTCTCAAGTTAAGTCATTTGCCCAAAGTTATGAAACTGGTGAGCAGCGGGGCCAGGTCTGCACCCAGCCACAGCTTCAGGGTCTGAGTCCACACATGACTGGCTTCAACCGCTCGGCGTCAGTTCATTAGTTTATTCGGCTCTCCGGGGACCCGTGCTCACGTGGCTCTGCACCACTGTCACCTACAACTGTGGCCCGTGTCTCAGTCACAGGATGCAGCAGCACCTTTTCTGACACTAAGTCCACCTTTCTCTGAGAACGAGTATGGGGACATCGCTTGGGTCCCTGAGCAACACAAGGTCCTCCCTGCAGATCAGCCCTGCAGGAGATGCGCTCTATTCTCTTCTTGGGAACATCACGCAAAGTGACCCTGTCCTGTCCCGGAGCTAGGGGACCCTAGACACTTGGGACACTGGAGGAACACGGTCCCTGTTTAATAACTAGAGACGCTCACGCCTTACCTTGGAGTCCAGCCCGAGGCCGGCGCGCACCAGAATGACAGACAGCGCGATGCTTCTCAGGGAGGAGGACCACCCGTGCTGGATCTGCACGCTGTCACAGATGACCGGGATGTTCCTGAGCAGGAACCCAGCCAGCAGCATGCCTGGAACGGCAAAGCCCAGCGGGACCGGGCGGTTTCAGTGAGAGACCAGAGTTTCTGGCCCTTCACCCGAGGAAAGGGCGACTACAGAATCTTCCCCTGCGGTTAGCCTTTGGATGAAATTAAGTTAAACTTTTAATTAAAAATTAAATAATGCAATAATTTAGAGGAGCAAAAAAGAATTTAAATGCATATAAAAGGAAACATTAGAATAATTAATATTCCCCTCCAAACTGAACATAAAAGGGAGAAACGAGAGGGGTGGAGAGGACCAAATCCTAAAAGGAAGACGTCTTCATCAATCTGAGTTCAGCCACTCCCTTGTGCGTAACGCCGAACAGCGACCAGCTCCTGAAATTCCGCGCTGTGCAGGATTCCCTAAAACCTCAGCGAGCACTTAGAGCAGCAGGTGCTTCTGCTTCATCTTCACGCCAAGCACTTAACGAGAAACACACACTTACTTCGCAAATGCCTTAGAAGGGAGTCCCAAGGACACGCGCACCACCGTGCAGTGCCAGTCACCGAGCACTTGCTGGTGCCTTCAGGATTTCAGACCCACAGAGGGAACTACGACGCAGTGGACAGACACCGGGGCCGCACTTCAACAAGCCAACGAGACAGCTCTCCAGTATATGGAAGCATGAGAGTGCTGTCCAAAGTGAGAAAGGCCTGGGCAGTCGAGGGGCAGGGGAGTCAGTGTCTGGAAGGGGCAGTGGATGGGAGAAAGACTGACGGCTTCAGGGGCGTGGCTTGGGAGGGATCCACCCTCCTGGGGCCACCTGCCCACCTCCAGGGGGCAGAGTCCTGTCAGAGACTGTGAGGGCTGCACTCTCCTCAGCAGGGTCCTCTAGGCCTGTGCCCCCCACATGTCTGAGCTCACATCCTTCAGTTAGGCCCTCACGAGAACACGCACAGCGTGACTTTCAATATCACAGGTCCTGATTTGCAGTTCCCCGATTTCTGTGTTACCGATGCTTCCTTCCATCAGGGTTGATTTGGAGCTACCGACATGATGCTTCTGGGTGTGGAATTGGGACAGGCCGGCCAGTGGCGGCCATTCCATGGTGTTCCCATAATCTCGGGGCACACATAAGGGGAACACAGTAGAATAATTAGGAAGCGACCAGTTTCCGGGATTGATTGCTCTTGTCCTTTAGTGTAAGTTGTTTAATTCTAAATTTACATAATTTACTTATTTTTTGTACATCATCAATTTTTAACAACTGGTGCACAAAATCCCTCAAATTGAACATTTGGCTTTTGTCTCCATCACAGCAAATATGGAACTATTTCATCTCTTCATTTCCCAAAGCTTTCCAAACTACTATTTTAAAAATATTATTTGCTTTGAAAGAAAGAAGATTTTTTTTGCACTTACCAAGAAGAGGAGGCAGGGGAGGAAGTGTTGGTAACTTCACAAGCCGCAAAAGTCTTCCTCCAATGACAGCGCAGTAGAGCAGGATGATGATTCCAAACAAGTTTCCTCCTGGGAGACATTCACTGCCAGTGATGGACCAAACTACAGCCCACAGAAGGACCGCCATGGTGACTGGAATAAACCAAGAAAACTAGTTTCTGTCAAGAAGTTGTCAAATACAGGTTTCAATAGCATCTAAGATAATTCTTAAACATCAAACCCACTGTCTAGGAGCAAAAGAATCATTATGTACTGCAAACATGTATCAATAAAAGTAAAAATTTAATAAAAAATAAACATTGCATAGGTAAACATGTGTCACCATGTATAAAGCAGAAACATCAAGAATATGAACAAATGGGTAATTTCCAACCATTTTAAGAAATAAGATATCACCAGTCTTTCCAGTCTGCCTGTGCCCCACCCTGCCAGAAGGAACCACTACTTTGATTTTTTTAAACCATTCTCTTATTTTTCTTTATAGTTTTATCACAAACATAATAGCAGTTCATATGAGAAAGTCAAACAAGCATTATCTTTACCCTTTTCACAGAAATATGACAACGCTGAAGCTCCAATCATGGTTTGGTAGTTTAGTTCTAAGACGGATACCACCGTGTTGGGCAAAGGGCAGATGAATTCCCTGAGCCTTGACCTGTTACTCATTAAAAGCATGAAGTGTGTTTTCTTCATTCAGACTCCTTTATCACCTTATGCCTCTGGGTCAGATTCCTTTCCTGCTCCGGTCTTCCTTCACGCAGGTGTTAAGCACTGAGGGAGGTCTGTCTAGAAGCTGGTAATACAAGGTTGACTAGCCTAAAATTTACATAACCTGTCTCATCCCCTTCAAGACTGAAGGCATCAAGATAAGAGATTTACAGGGACACCAAGCTACCAGGGGCATCTAGAAGCCTCTAGTCACTGCCTTAAGCTATGGTCATCTTGGATTTCAGCAGACCCTGCTGAACTGAAGCTGCCCCAAGCAAAAACAATCATCTCACGGAGCCTGGACCCCCTTCTCCTGAGCAGTAAGGACTCTCAGTGCTACAGAATGGACACCATGCTCAACCTAACCACCTCAGCCACTGGAGGACTGGCCTTGGTCCTCTGTTCTCTGGACAGTCTGCTCTGCAGCAGAACTGTGCAGGCCCTCCAGACCCCAAGCTCAGTTCTGTCCCACGGTCTCTTGCTTCCAACTCTGCTCAATAAATCTGCCGGTGCCTCTCTCCGATGGGTTCTGCAATAAGACATCAGGAACGTGCCTGGAACAAGTTGATGTTCCCATTTCCCTTTTTTTTTTTTAAAGGGTGTGTATTAGTGATACAGAATAACATTCATTTTGATATCTTGGTACATGTCTACAACATATTTTGATTATTTTTATCCTCATTTCTTCTTTCTTTTCTCCCTTCTCCCTCTGGTTCCCTTCTCATCTCCAAAACTCTACTTTCTAGTTTCCTGTTATTTTTCTTTTATTTATTTAGCTTGCTCATATGAGAAAAAACCATGAGATGTTTAACTAAGACTGGCTTCTTTCGCTTAAGGTCTCCAGGCCTCCAGGTCCATCCATTTTCCTGTAAATGGGATGATTTCATTATTCTTTATGGCTGAACAATACCCTACTGTGTATATACACCACATTTTCTTTGGCCATTCATCTGTTGATGGGCATCTAGGCTATTTCCACAGCATAGCTACTATGAATTATGCTGCTCTGAATATGGGTATGCATGTATCACTACAGTGTGTTATCTTTAATTTTTTTTAGGAATATACCAAGGAGTAGTATAGCTAATTCAAATAGTATTTCTATTTTTAGTTTTTTGAGGAATCTCTCTACTGAATTCCATAGCAATAGTTTACATTCCCACTAGCAGTCTAGGAGGGTTCCTTTTTCCCTACGTCCTCACCAGCATTCATTATTTTTTGTATTCTTGATGATAGCTATTCTGACTGGGGTGAGATGGAATCTCTATGTACTTTTGATCTGTATTTCTCTAATGGCTAAAGATGTGGGCATTTTTTTCATGTATTTTATGGCCATTTATACTTCTTTTGAGAAGTGTCTATTCAACTTATTTACCAATTTGTTGACTAGGTTATTCCTTTTTGTGTGTGGGGTAAATTCTTTGTATTCTTTATGTATTCTAGATATTAATCCTCTGCCTGAAGAGCAGCTGGTTAATATTTCATCTTGTCTGTTGACTGTTTTTCAGAATGAATCTCCTTTAAATTTAGGGGGACTTCCTTGGACCCCTTCAGGTGACTGCCTTGAGTAAACATTATCGTTAATTCTCTTTTTACAGAAAATGTTTTCTTAGAATTATCCACATACTTTCCTTATTTTTTAAACTTTTAATTACTTGTAAGTCAATAAATAATATACATACACAAAAACCTAAAAATATAGATAATCATGACTATATTAGTAATCCATAAGCATGTAAAATGAGGCCCAATTTGCAGAGCTGAATGTTGAATAACATTTATTGCATGTGTTGTCATATATAATCTCAATTATTATTACCAATTCTGGTTATTTTCACTATTTTACTGAAGATTATTACTTATAATAAGCTGAATATTTTTGCCTATATAACATAGCACCAAATATAAATAAGAACTTCTGAAAGAGGAGAGAAACTAAGGATGGAGTTTCAGAGTATCTACATTTTAAATACCAACTCTTCCCACATACTTTTCCTCCTTACACAAAAGGTACTAAATAAGTTAATTTAAATGTCCTACTTATATTTCTTACTTTGATATATGTTCATAAAATCTATGTTGTCTAAATTTTTAGGCTTATATAATTAGAAATTTAAAATATATACTTTCATGGATATGTCAGCTAGTTGAAGTAAGTTAGCACAATCATTTGAATTGGTTGCCCACATCCTGGGCAGGGCTTATTTCTTTTCTTTAGCTTCTCTGCACATGTGAAACATGACATAAGATGTCCTGTTTGGCCAAGAACAATGCAACCATTTTTAGGTTGACCTTGGCAAAGGTTCAATGCCATGAAGGGGAAAACTGGATTCCACGCTTTCTTCTCTGTCTTGTGTTTCTTCCTTCTCAAACTCTTTAACATCTTCTTGGCTGCTATTAATAATGCTACTAGAAGTTGATGACTGAGAATAGTCCTCACTTTCTTGTGACTGGGAGGCTTGTATGACTTATCATTATTTTCACCAATACGTGACTCTCTGGAATCATCTGCTGCAGTATCCGGTGCATCCAAGCCCTGGCCTGCCTGCGTTGAGTTTTCTAATTTGGATTTCTCAGGGGTTTCCCCTTTCTCTTTCCCGTTATCTCCAGAAAGCCCATCCTAACCAAGGGCCCATCATCTGTTGCAATGTGATGGAAGGGGGGGGACTCATTTCATTGCATGAAGTACACCTCCAATTGTCAGTAAGGAAATTTCTGGATCTTCTTCAAATGGATGCCTGTAACACTCTCCCCTGCCCAATACACAGTAACTTGATATACCTCATGATCTTCATCTCAGAGTTCTTGTCCTTCCTAAGAGTATCATGTTCTGAATCAAGAGATTCAACTTCAAATTCTACACTGGATTGATCTGAAACTGGATCCTGATCTAATAATTCACCTGAATGTTCACTTACACCATCATCCAGATTGGGATCTGATGGAGTCTCTGTCGACTCACTGCTGTTACTTCTTTCACAACATATCTCCCTTATTCCACAGAGCCAGGCTTTCATCAAAAGAACGGGAAATACTATCCGATTTGTGGTGTTTTGTCATCATCAGACAATTCATCTGAACTTTCTTTCCTTTCGCTGACTGCTCTCCTTCTAGATGAGGTAGCTGAGGTAGAAACCGAATCTGAAGATGAAGGCTTCCCTTCTTGTAGCTCTTGCCCAGGGCCTTTTGTTCTCGCCCACCTTCAAGACGGCACCTGCTCTCACTCTCAGATGTGCCTCAGTCCGAAGGTTCTGGGTGATTGACAACTATCAAGTTTCTATAGATCACTGTATAGATTTTCCTGTGCTCTTTCACAGAGAAGCTTGGTACTCCAAACAATCTCCTAGCAGATCATTTGAACAATAAACAATCTGTCGTTTCTCATCACACAATCGTTTGGTCATAATATACTGGCCAAGATAAAATATGACCTCTATCCCAGAACTTCAGTACAGTAAATTCTACTCATGCATCTCTAGTGCAGAAGTTCTTAACCTGGGGTTCAGGGATGCCCAAGAAGTCCTCTTTTCTAGTGTAAGTGTCTTTGTGCATCAACAGACTAACAATTTAGGCTTTGGTCCAGCCAGGGTCTCTTGTTCTGAAGCTGGAATCTGTGAGGTGCTTAGAGCACCATCAGTAGACACAGATGTGGTGGTATTGCACACTGGCGTGGATCAACACGGAAAACTTGCTGTATGCCAGTGAACACAGCTGCTTCTCACCTTGAGGGGATTTTTGCACCTGGAGTGGGGCCAGGATCCCCCAGGATGCCCCAGTTCCCGTCACCCTGGGCCTCGGTGACTGTTCCCCCTGTGGGCTCAGGCCGCTGGGGTGCTCAGAGGCGGCAAGGAAGGAGGCCGGACCTCCCCGGGGAGGGGTGGGGCCGGAGCTACCTGGAAGACTAGGCTGCCCATACTCACCTTTTAAAAAGTCATCATTCAGGCTGGCATCTCAAACCGTTCATCTAGGACAACTAGCTCGACGCATGAACTATTTCCTTTAGTAAGCGCATTTTTGTTAGCATGTGAAATGTTTCTTAAATGAGTCACAACTTTGTAAACTCTGTCTTACAAAATGGTATACTCAAAATAGAAGGGCTCCTGGGAAAGACCGAGTTGGGGCAAACCACTCTGCACTCAAAACTTAGCACCAAAGCACCAACAAAAACAAACACTCCTCCTAACAGTAACAGTGCAGTTGAATCTCCACTGACATCTGTGTCTCACACGCAGTCTGCTCTTTGCAGATGCAGATTTGTGAAGAAATCATCTTTAAATACAGAGCAACCCCATAAAAAATGGGCCTATATCAGAGCCTTCTCTATCAAAATAAAAAAAAAATAATAAGAAGGAAAATTGTTGGCAGCTTCTTCCTTTGTAATGTCTGCTGTTTCATCCCCATGAGTAGTTGTACTAGAAGCTCTGTGTTGTGGAACGTCAAAGAGCTCCTGATGCCCCTAAGCCAGCTACCGAAGGCCTGAAAACAGGCACCTCAATGGGGAGCTCAACTTAAAAGGTCCCCGTGTGAGGAAGGCTTCTGCTTAATTGTGAGACAGCACACACCTGCTCTTTTCCGTTTTCTACTCACTTTGCCTTCACTTAATGATGCAAAATATTAATATGCCAGAAAATTTATGTCCCCAAATACAAACTCCTTATTTCACACAATTTCTGATCTGCCATTACTCATGGGCTACTTCATGGTGTAGAAGCACTCTCTGTCAGAATACACTACATTTCTCATGAGGATCCTTGCTACTAAATTACTGGTTTTGTTGTCTGAAATTAGTATATTTTGAAAGAAGTTTTTCTAGGTATATATTGGATTTGCCCCAAATTGCAGGTTAACTGATTGCATGGGTAATAATACAAAGGGTCAGCAACTGGGATCTCATATTAAAAAGTTTTTGCACAGCAAAAGAAATCATCAATGGAATGAACAGACAACTCACAGAGTGGGAAAAAAATTTTAGCCAGGTGCTCCTCTGACAAAGGACTAATATCTAGAACACAAAAAGAACTGAGATAAATCAGACCCCCCAAAATTTAAAGATCCAATCCAAAAATGGGCATCTGAGATGAATACACACTCCTCAGATGAAGAAGTACAAATGGCAAATAAATATATGAAAAAATGTTCAACATCACTGGTCATTTGAGAGATGCAGATGAAAACAACACTGAGATTCCACTTCACTCCAGAAAGAATGGCTGCTATCAAGAAATCAACCAATAACAAATGCTGGCGGGGCTGCGGGGAGAGAGGAACCCTTCCATCTCCACCATTGGTGGGAGTGCAGCCTGGTGCAACCACTGTGGAAATCAGTATGGAGATTCCTCAAAAAAACTAGGATTAGAGGTTCCATTCGATCCAGCTATTCCCATTCTGAGTATCTTCCTGAAAGAATTAAAAGCATCATACCACAGTGATATATGCAGACCCATGTGTATAGCAACACAGTTTGTAATAGCTAAATCTTAGAAACAATCCAAATGTCCATCAACTGATGAATGGATCAAGAAGATGTGTTTTTTAATATAATGGAGTACTACTCAGCCACAAAGAAGGATAACTTGAGATCATACTCTTTAGTGAAATAAATCAGAAACACATGTGTAAATATCGCATTGTCTCTCTGGTGTGAGAAACTGAAAGTATAAATAAGGATCAAAATGTATAATAAATATTGTGAAATAGGAAGAAATTGTTCAAAATAATACCAAGTGTCAGATACTTTGTTAATTAAAATGCTTTGTGCAAAAAAGGTATAGTTTTCTTAGGGATGAGCTGAGAGATAGATTAGCAATTGAAAATGTATTTTTCTTAAGATCATGAAACACAGTGTACTTACCATTATTATTCTCTAATTCTATTGTTATGAAATTTTATTTTTTTGATAGAAGTGTTTTTGTATTTTCTTTATTAATATCTACTTGCATTACATTAAAATAAAAAAAACCAAAAAAAACAAATTGCAGGTTAAGGGTTATTTTCGCTCACTTCATTGAAACTATTATTCATTGGTTTTTGGCTTTCCGTATTATAAAGTCTAATTTGACTCTTTTTTTTTTGTACAGGGGATCGAACTTGGATATTTGCGCCTGCGCTTGTGAGGCAGGCAGCTGAACCACTGAGCTAAATCCCCAGCCCTAATATGACTTTTCTACAGAGTTCTTTTTCTTTGTCTGATTTTAGGATCTTCTTTTTGGATCTGCAATTTTAGAGTATATTTATATGAGTCTCCCTTTTGGTTTGCTTAGGATTTATGTTTTTTAAAACCGATTCTGGAAAGTTCTGTCTTTATTTCTTCAAATGTTTCTTGCCCATTCTCCCTATTTTCTGTAAGAAGGTTGGACACACACGCTGTTTCCAAGTTGCTGAGCCTCATATGTCACATCTCTGTGTACTGCCTTCTGGGTAATCTCTTTGGCTCTACTTGCTAGTTTACCAATTTTATTTTCACTTACTCTGCTACCTACTCTGTCCATTGAACTTTAAATTTCTATTATTGTCCTGTATCTTTTATCTTCAGAAGTCAATTTGGTTCTTATTCAGATCTGTAATTTTTTGTGTTTTTTTTTGGTTCTGGGGATTGAACTTGGGTCCTTGCGCTTGCACAGCAGGCGGCGAAACCACTGAGCTAAATCCCCGGCCCCAGATCTGTTAATGTTTAATAGTTACTTCTTTAAATTCCTATTTATTTTTCCTTAACTTCTTTACATATACAAAAATGCTTTATATTCTATTTTATGGTAATGGAAAATTATAAAACCTCTACTTTCTGTTTCTTTTTTGTGTTTTATTCATCTATTTTTAAAATTTACTTATTTATTTATTTGGCAACAATGAGCCCTCCCTCTACCTTTATCTGTGGGTTTGAATGTGATACAAATTCAAACATGGTTGAATGTGAGTTTTCCAGGTAGGGTCTGCATTTATCTTTACCATGTGCTTACAAATTTACAGCCCAGGGGACTCCTAGAGCTACAAATTGGGATTGAGTTTTTTCTGTGAACTGAGGATACAAATCAGGATAAATTTACACATTTTTAGCTGAGACTCCTCACGATATAGACAGGTTTAGCCACAGGCCTCATTGGAGAGCAGGTTCACCACCATCTCACCATCCCGTCCAGCTCTGGGTGAGTGAAGGACAACATCATTTTCCTGCTAGCCAGGCAGGTGTCAGCTCGCCTTTCTGTGTGCTCACCGTTCTCAAAATCACTTTCAGTTTCATCAGGTCTTGGGAGAAACCTCCAGGGTGAAAGGCAGCTTCCGTGCTTATTTATCTCTCCTACTTGTATTCCAGTTTTGGTTTCTGATCACTGCTTTCTTCATAGGTCAACAGTACATTTAAACAGGCTTAACATATTGTTTTCAGATATTACTACTGGTTTAAGTGACAGGACTGTTGATTGCGTGTCGTTATATTTTGGTTTGTTTTCAAATCATGACATTTTTACCCTTTCTTTATATCTGTTTTATTATAAATATTTTAACTAGATATGTGCCATATTTTAAAAGGTAAAAGTTAAAAAAATAATAAAAAGGACAGAAAAGGTATTAAATTATCTGTGGCCCCAATTAGCTAGTGTATATTCTGGAACCAGGCTATCACTGTGTGTCCTAAATAAAGTTTGAGATTTTATTCCATGCTAGTTCAGAACCATACTTGATTTCATTAAAAACATGTCCAGAGTCTAAAATATAACATATTGTACTTGGCTTTTATTGTCCCAGATGAAGATGATAATAATATTTTCTAAAGTTCCCAGTTGATCTTTAGCTATGAAGGATTATGCCTCATTTTTCAGTAATTATAGCCCATAGAGGCCATATATTCCCTCCAATGATGGTATCATTTCTCAACACAATTTTTGAAATAGTCTTTAAATTTGTCTTTAGAGACAATTTTCAAATCCCTTGTTCTTTTTCCTACTATATTTCTACATCCCTTAACATACAGAGGGTGATCAAAATATACAGTGAGTGGTTAAATTAAAAATTTATGGGCCAGGGATTTAGCTCAGTGGTTTCGCCGCTGCCTGGCAAGTGCAAGATCCCAAATTCAATCCCTGGTACCAAAAAAAAAAAAAAAAAAAGAGAGAGAAAAACAATGTATTATGTTAAAAGATACATTGGCATTAATCTCCCTCAACACCCCAGCCCCAGCTTTGAACACACCTATCCCATAGTTTTTGCCATTTTCTGAAGCAGCTCTGAAAGTTCTCTTTTGTGAGTATGTTTATGAGGTGTGGTCAAAAATATGGTAAATGCTGCTGCCAAGCGCCACCCAACGGAAAGGCAGCTCGTAAAAACATGATATGTGTCCTCATCTACCTTATTCACCAGATCTTGTACCATGTGACTTCTGGCTCTTCTCCAAAGTCAAAAGGACCATGAAAGATAAACACTGAAATCAATTCAGAATATTGAGGCAGCTAGGATGGAGCAACTAAAGACATTCACGAAAGAGGACTTCAAGAAATGCTTTAGAAAGTGGCAAGATCGATGGGATACATGTATTGGAGGCCATGGAAAGTATTTTGAGAGGGACCAATGGCAATGTGTCTTTTACTGTAATAATTTTTAAAAACCTGAACACTTACCAGATTTTTTGAACACACCTAATACGTAACACAAACACAACACACATACATATACACTCTTCCTTTCTGAATAAAAATGGCATCACTGCACATGAACATCCATTTGTTTAACTAATTTATAATAATCTTTGTCTGCCTCCAAAAGCCAAATCCATTCCCTAAAGAAAGATATAGGCCAACAGGAAAATATTCAGAACAGAGCTGAGATAAACTTTCCCTTCCCCAAGGGAAGGGAAAAATCTTCAAATCTTCAAAGTGTTTTTAAAACCTGGCAGCCGTATGGCAGTAAGTTGAGCTGCAAACCAAGATCTTTACTTATGAAATGACAGGATCATTTGGAAATAGAAATTGAGCTATCTTCACTCAAATAGTAGCTGAATTAGTTTAAAGGGAACGCTTGTCTATTTACAAGTGATTTCCCAAACATTTTCCCCAGCCCTTGAGTAGTCAGTCCTGCAGGCTTACTCAGTACCGAAAAGCCACAGTCCCTTGGCTTCTGTCCTGTCCCTGCCCACGGGGATCGTGTAAGCCTCGGGTGAGGACGTCAGGACCCTGCTAGCCTGGCCCTTGAGTGGCCGTGTGGAGCAGAGCCAGCAACCACTGTGACTGTTCACCTAGTTCTTTTGACGTGAGGGAGATGTAAAGTTCCTTTTGTTCTCTGAAAGATATGATTTTGGAATCTCACCACATCTGTGACCCCTCTTTCCCGCGCCCATCCTTACTGGACACCTACCATTCGTGACACCTCTGCCCAGCAAGCCATGAGGAGGGCAGGCCAGTGCTTGTCTCAGTCTTTGCAGACAGTGGGAGCCAGCTGGGGTTTCCTGTAGCTTCTTCTCACGGCTGTTCAGTAGGTTACTCCCTTCGGTGGCTTCGCTTCCATCTCTGCCTCTGAGGTTTGTGACTTTCTCTTGTACCTACAGAAATTTAAAAAAAATTCTTAGAACTGTTTGCTTTCTGCACATCTTGACAATTGCTGGTTCATCACATTACAAAGCAAGCTGCTGCTACTGGAACCAAAGATCACATTGTATATGAAAACTGTACAACTTTTATTACTAGCAAATCAGCAAGTGCTTGGGACAAGAACTGCATTTGCAGTACTTAGCACTGGGTCATGACTTTTATAAATGCTTGAGTCACATAAAATAAACAGAGCAGTATGTTTTTAAATATTGTACGGGGTTTAAGAATTGGCATAGTTAATACATAATTCAGGACAATAGTTGGTCCATAACTGAAGAGGTTCAGGAAAATAACTATCCGTGTTGAAAACCAATTCACATTCATCCCTCTACGTGAAATTAAGCAGCAGAAAGAGGGAAGAAAGCCAGATCACCCTGGGGATTAGGCCGGGAGCGACACGGAGCTCACAGGCTCTGCCGGCCGCAGGTAGGGGCGGCGGCAGCCTTAGGTGGGGAAGCTGGATTTCCTGCGTTCCAGGGAGAAGAGCGGGGAGAACTGGTAGCTGAGCATAACACCCCAGCTGTTAAGGATGGGAAATGATGGTCCTTTCCTTAAAAGAGTGGCTGGGATTTTCAGGGTTTGACCCAGGCTTTTTACCTGTGTTCCCTGAGGCCCAGCGGCTGTACAGTTTGTCTCTTCGGGTGGCTCCCAATTGTCACATTCGATGGGTTTATCTTTGTCCCCCATGACTCGTGACTATGAAGAAGGCAACACAGGGAGGGCAGCCAGCTCTGTTTTGAAGGAGAAACAGTACAGAGTCAGAGCAGTAAGCGGAAAATCTTTGGAAGTAAATTGTACTTTTTTCCTCCCTTAGAACTCTGAGCCCGGTGTGGTGGTGCACACCTGCCATCCAGCACTCCTGAGCCGGAGGAGGAGGAGGAGGATGGTCACAAGTTGGAGGCCAGCCTGGGCTGCACAGTGAGGTAAAGGCCAGCCCATACTACACAGCAGGATTCTGTCTTTAAAAACCAATAGGTAAATAGAGAAATAAATGAAAAAGAATTCTGAATGTTGAAAATATTTTAAGTTTTACTATTCTTAACTTTTTTTAAATTCCAACAATTGTGGTATGATTAAAAAATATGGTGAATGTTTAAATTTTAAAGATTTATTACAGTAAAGACATAGTCCCATTAATCCTCCTCAAAATACCCCTCCTCACTTCAAACACAGGGCATCATTCTTGCTACTTTCTGAAGCGGTTCAGTTTATATTCACAGCAACTTCTGTCAAATAAAGACATTATACTGTGTTTCCCACCCTGTTTTTTGAGTTCTACTCCAAAACATTCTGAGCAATCTCACTACCGAACTTTCTCTCTAACAGGCCAAGCTGCTGAAGCAGCGAGGCTCCAGGTAGCTTTCCAAAGCTGGCGTGAGGAATGAGTCACCGAAGGGAAACCTCTGGGCTCCATCATTTTCAGAGAAACCAGTGTCACTAACTCCTTCCTGGTTCTTATTTCTAAGTTAAAATTGAAAATACAACACCACTGATCAATGCCCGCAGTATCTTAGGCCCTGTGGTGCCCACAGTATCTTAAGCTATAGTAGTCTCTTGCTAGGAGTCTATGGGCAATTTTTTTTTTTTTGGTACTGGGGATTGAACTCGGGACCTAGTGCTTGTGAGGCAGGTGGCAGAACCACTGAGCTAAATCCCCGGCCCATTATGGGCAATTTTTAGATTGCCAAAACATGTCCTTTGTATTCCAGACTTACATATACCAGGAAATATAAACTTATACCAAGAAACCATATGGTACACTATAGGTTGGCCCAATAAACGCCCCTCTTAACCCTGTCTCCCTTGATTCCTATGCTGTAGAGGGTGAGAAGCCAAATGCTCCAATCCCTGGCCCCGGCTGCAGCTCGAGGTGGCAATGTGTCACAGTTCCATACGAGATGTAGGTGGGGATCCCTGGCAAGGCCTTCAGAAGATCGTACTTTTCATTCTTTGCCCTCCAACATCTCCCTTTCTCCTTCCTGGAAGGTAGAGACAATGCCTGGAGGAACAGCCACCCACTGCCAAACAAGGATGCAACTGTTTAAGCCACTGTTCTCATGTTTTCCTTTGGCTACTACCCAAATTCATCCCTCATATTTAGGTACAATGAGGATTATGGTAGAGGTAAAAAAAAAACCCTGCAAATTTGAATAATTTAATAAAAATTATGTAAGAGAAAAATGAATTTAACACATATTTGCATGGCTAATATGTGTCAGACATTGTGCTAGGCCACAAAGACCAAGATGAATTAGACAAGATCCTTTCCTCCAGAAATAATTTTTTTAGTTTAACTAAATGCAAGAGATTTGCCTTTACGATGTCAAAGAATCACATGATGTTATATCATCACTACCACCACCATTTTGTACCTTACAAAACACAATGTTAGCCAGAGAGGCATCTCACACAACTGTCAGTTTTGATTTTAATTCTATATGAAATATAGAATGTGAGAATTAAAAAACTAGAAATTTATAACCACATTCTTGTCACATCTGGAAGCAACTATTTTTCTGTTAGGTGAGCAAAGGAACTTCCTTTTATGATGCCAGTGTGATGTGGTTTCACGTCACTTCCCACCGAATGAATCCTCAGTTACACATCCGCATTAGACCTGAAATATCTTCTGTGAAATAACAGATGTGTAGAAAGGTGGTTCTGCACCTTCAAGCCAATCAACCAACAAGATATGGTATGTGAGCACCAACGTTGCGTCTCTGGGACAAAATTTCTGACAAATAACTTAAAGGTGGAAAAGAGAAAAGTTTCAGAGGGTCCAATACATGGTTAGGGGCTTCACTGCTTTTAGGACTGTGGTGAGGGAGAAACATCATGGTGGAAGGGTGTGGTGAAGGAAAACTGCTCACTTCCTGGTGGCCAGAAAGCTGGGGGGGTTCAAAAGGGGAGCACCTGGGCCCCACAGCCCTGTAGTCCATCTAGCTAGGACCTCCCCAGTGGATGAACCAGCAAGTGCCCTCATGGTCCAGCCACCTGGCCAGGCTGCGCCTCTGAACACTGCTGCACTGGAGGTCTCAGTATAGGAGACATCAGGGGAAGACTTCATAGTTAAGCATAACAGATGAAAACATTTTCTGTTTGAAAAGAAATTAAAATATATGTTACATTATAGAGAACTTTACAGGAAATTTTAAGGTAAAAAATCCAGCAGTCAATAAAATAGGTGTCAGTTACTCACAAAATTAAGTTTAATGCATTCTTTTTCAATAGTGCTAGTTAAATGGCTTACTTATTTCCCCCTGTTTTCATGAAGTCTTTAAAATCCAAACACTAAACCCTTTCCTTGGTTCTGGAGAAGGTTCGAGAGAGCTGCTAGGACTGACTAAATGTGGGGGAAATACAGAGAAACTGGATGGTTTCCACACAACCAAGAATCACAGATTAATGGAATAATAAAATTTGGGAACACTTGTGTAAGTTATAAAGTCCTCTCCTTTTAACATTCCCATGAAAAAACTAAGCTGGCTGGCCAGGCATGGTGCCACATGCTTGTAATTCCAGACACTTAGGAGGCTGATGCAGGAGGAGTGCAAGTTTGAGGCCAGCCTGGGCAGCTAGGCCAGACCCTGTCTCAAAATAAAAAAGGGCTGGCCATGTAGCTCAGCACTCAGCACTAATAAAAACAAAAAAGAAAAAAGAAGCCAATCAAAGCCTATAGAAGTTAAATAGCCTCAAATAACATAGCCAGGATGTGAGGGCGATCTGGCTGCGACATCTGTCACCCCAGTGATCACCAGGGTTGATTCCGCTGATCTGGCTGGCCAGGTGGGGGTCCCCTTCCTCCCTCACCGCTCCATGTGCGTCCCTCCCTAGTATCCGAGGAGCTACACTCCCCTGCTAGAACCTCCAAACAAGCTCTCACATAACATAGCCAATATCAGCCACGCTTAATAGCAGAACCATCTGTGATAGGGAAAAATTTTAAAGTAAGTTTAGTAGATTAGCTATTTAGTTGTGGAAGCAAAATAGGTAGTGTATCCCTTTAAAAGCTTGCCTTAGCCCATTGCTTTCGTTGTTTAAAGTGAAGGTTATATAGCTCCTTTGATTTGTAGCTCCACTGTAGATAACATCCTAGGTCTGAAGAATAAAGTGGGAATCCTTGAACAAACTTATGATATATGTGCCGTAACTGTCATGTGTTTAGGACTGTAATCAGTGACAGAAGCCACCTGTGTCTAGCCATTAAACAGGAATTGGAACTTTATTTACTTAACAAAGACCACTAGGGATGAGATAATGACTAACAAAAGTATAAAAGGTGATGGACAAAGAACGTGGGGGGAGGGCAGGAACTGACCAGACCAGTTTCCTGGTGTTCCCGCCTGCTTGCAAGTAAAAGCCTTTATTATTTTACCCGAATTCTGTGTCTCCATGCATTTTTTCCCACAATTCCAGAACATCTGGACAGTTGTGAAATGAGATTTCCACCCAGTGTATTTTGTTTTCAGTCTCTGCCATATTTTGTTTAAAAATCTCACTTATCCATTCTCATATTCAATTGCAACTTTAAAAAAACATTCCAAGAACAAATATCAATACTTTTATTTTCTACTTTGTACTATCTTCAGCTTTACTTCCAATAGTAACATTTTATAGGCCTCATAAGTTCAGCAAACAACATTAATTCAATCAGATTTCTGTGGCCAAATCCAGATTTCTATGGAGCAGTGGGGGCTGAGCTTGGCCAAAGGCATGGCTGTTAGGCTGTCCTGACCGCCCACCAGCTCATATGTTAGCAGCCAAACATTTTCTCCAAGTCCACGCAAAGGCTCTTCATGACTCTAGCATACCCAATATTCAGAATTTTCTACAAGACGGATCCACACAGAAACTATCTGGGCTCAATTTGAACTTTAATTTTCAGTATTAGGGACATATGCCATTAAAATTATAAAGCAGTGAACTTGAGGGAAAGACAGCCTCTGTAGTCTTTCTTTCACACGTGGGAAAAAACTGCACTGAGACCAAGACTAAAAACAGTGGTGCATATGTAAGTGTATGTATGTGAATGGTTTTTCATTTTTCTTTTCTATATTTCTGTATCACTAAGATTTTTAGAAGATGTTCTTATCAATTTTAAATACATTTAAAAAGACAATCTGTGCAATTCTTTAGAGAAAAGAAAGTGACACAGGTTTCCTTGGAAATAGTACTGTTGGTAGACACATTTGGTGATTTTATTTTGGATAATTCCACCTGCCACGATTGAAGGTCATTTTTTTTCTTTTAGTGGCTTTCAAAATAGACAGGGGAGTGTCCGGGGATTTAGCTCAGTGGTTCTGGTGCCTGCCTCACAAGCGCAAGGTCCCAAGTTCCCCGGTACCAAAAAAAAAAAAAAAAGACAGGGGAACTGCCTAGAATCTTCTACAGCAGTAATTTTCAAACACTTTTCATCCAAAAAGTTTCCATCAACTGAAGCTTTATCTGTAAATCCAGCAAGAGGAGCAAATAAAGGCAGGGCTGCAGCATGTGTGCCCATTCACCTAGTCCCCCGCAAGGGGCCCACGCTTTGGCAGTCGCTTCTGTAATCAGCCCTTCCCACCCGGAGAGCTGTGTGTTACATCAGCCTTCTCTGTCTCAGGTTATTCTACCTATCTCAATGTTTTAAGTGCTTTCTGAAGTATTTCAGAGGAAATAAAGGGCCTATCAATTTACAGATGTTCATAGGCTCTGGGTCAAGTTAAAATACACTTAGTGCTGTCAACTCAAG